TCGGTATCTATATATATATATATATATATTTATATCCCCCTCCTCCCTTCTCTTCTCTGTTTTTCTCTTCTCTTCTCTCTATACATACATACATACACCTTCTATATCTATCTACATTTTTGGGGTTTTTGCTCTCTGCCTTTTTCACTTTTTTTTTTGGTTTTGGTTTTGATTTTGATTTTGATTTTTTTGTGGATTGTTGTTTATTGAGTATGATGTGTATTTCGGTATCTATATTTTTGAGGCATTACAGTATGAGTATTGGATATTCCATTGGCTTCCATGTTTATAAATTCAATCAAAATAAAGGATGAATGTGGATTTAAGATAATATTAACCAGATCCATAGAAATTGGGGCATTATAGCGGTACATGAAACAGAAATTGTTCACAGCACTTCGTTTCTTCCAAACGTTCTGTTTTTCTGCGTTTTGATTCCTCGCTTACTAATTTCTCAACAAGCTGCCCCTCATTTTCATCAGCAGCCAATCTTTTCCTTTTTTTGGAGCTCTTTTCTGGAAAGGTGGATGCTTTGATTACAGTTATCAATTGTCTCTTGTAATATCTATGGAGTTGTTACTACAAGTTTCATAGTGGGACACAACATTATCAGCTTATAGCTGTTGCTGTGGATTCTCACAATTCAAGATTTGTTATCTAAAATTCACTAGAAAAACTATCTATCAGTTACTTGTTTTGGAATATGTGCGTGGCAATTGGCATTTCTTTATAAAAATTTTCTTTATAAAAACACAATATTTCTTTATAAAAATACAATATTTCTTAATAAAATTTTTCTGTAATTTCAAGAGGTGGAGATAAATACAAGTTCACAATTTGCATTGAGCCTCATAGTAGAAGCATGGTGATTACGGCATGTGTCTATTATCAAGGGACTACAAAAAGATGGGTGTGGCAGGAGTGAGCCTTAATTAAGAGAATGAAGGGTTGTCCTACAATCATGGGTTGTTGAGATTGAAAAGATTTCTCAATTGATATTTTGCCTTGGTTGAAAGTTTTGCAGTGATATTTCTTTAGCTAAAAGACTGTCATTTTGGCCAAATTGCAGTGTGTACGCCTGCCAACAATTTAGCTTAAGTTGACCAACTTAGAGTGATAGTCTATGAAGCATTGACACTCCAAAATAGGCGTCGTAGTAGTGTCAGACATGGCGGGAACATGCATGGGACACACACCAACTCGTCCCCCCCCCTTCTTTGGTGCTTTTGATGGATGTTGGATGTTCAATGTTTTTTTACTTTTTGTTTCGATTTAAATAATTAATAGATCATACAAAAAAAGAAAAAAAAGAAAGAAAGAAAGACATAAACGATAAGAGTTAACTGAAGAGTGAGTTTTTAATTTTTTATATATGAAATTAGTGTTTGTTTTTGTTAAGTTTGATTATTTGTGGATGTGATATTAATTGACATAGCAAATAAAAAAAATATGTATACATAAAAAATTTGTTGCCTTGTCCCAGTTGTGTCTATGTCCTTATTTTTTTAGATCATCATGTCCTGTGTCCATGTCTGTATGACTGTGTCCGTGTCCGTATTTCATAGGTGATAGTCCTCCTATGCCATTGAGAGGTGCTTAGAATTTGAATGCTTTAAGATCGGGAATAGTGTGAGACTTGAGTAAAAGTGGGACTACAATTGCATGAATACTGAAATTTATTTCCATGAGATCTGGGGGTGGTTGATCAAAGTCTATGGAAAGTATATTTATCCCTAGAGTGTATTTTTTGTTAACTGGAAAAAGTTCCTTTTGAGTGTTTATTATTGTAATAGTGAAGGGATACAAGAGGACAATGAAAATGATGGTTAGTTAAGAATCGAATCAATGAGGATGTCTGCAAAGTGAGCTATAGTTGAAATGAGATGTCATGATGGATAATTGGCAATGTAAAAAGAGAGAGAATTTGTGCTGAATGCATAAATGAGGAGGAAGAGGTAGCATTAATTAATGATGGGGGTGGGCCGAGAATTTTACTCCCAGTGTGATATGTGTTACATATTTTATTTCTTGTGTATGAACCAATGCTTATAATATTATGTTGTAAGAGTAATGCTTGAAATTCTTAAATGAATAGAATGAATTTAAGAGTGGTGATATTTAAAGTTGTAAGAGTAATGCTTGAATTTAAGAGTGGTGATATTTAAAGTTGTAAGAATGAATAGAATGAATTTAATGCTTGAAATTATGTTGTAAGAGTAATGCTTGAAATTCATTTGACTATAAATGAATTTAATCACTTAAAAAAAATATTTAAAGTTACTCAATATAATTACTTGTTGGAATAGTGATATTTATTTTTCCAATTTTCTTAGTATTATTTATGGTATGCTTCATGAATTATACTTGAGGTATAATTCCTTATTGGTATAAAGAAACAAATTTGATAGAATATACCCTCAATTTACGAAGGGTATGAAAGAATTGAAAGAGAAGAAAAAAAAGAAAAAAAAGAAAAGAAAAGGAAAAGACAGACGCCTAGAGAACAATGTGAAGAGAGAAAAAAATAGGGAGAAAATATTAGGCATGTGACCATGCCAAACGGTATCCACTTTTTAATGATGTTATACTTATCACATTTTTTTTTTTTATCATATTTTGTTTATGGTATGATTTGATATACTTATGATGATTGAATATTAATTTTATAAATGATTATATGACACATCAAATGATAAATAAAACATGCGATCATCGTAACATTATTGGCCACTTTGACCACATGCTTTGCAAATTGTAAAATATTATTAGGATGTTCAGGAGTTCTAGGCTAACCTACCGCCCATTATATATCATACACATGTAATGAAAGTTTTTGAAAGGCTAGGGTGTTCAAACAAATACCCTCAGCAGTGCATGGCACTGCCCTTGATCCTTCATAAGGATCCAGGTAAAGAGATTTTTCTGCACTCATGGGCTTTGACCCCCTTTCGCCCATATCTACATGAGTTTTCCCTTGATTGACGACCAAACAAAGCACATTATCTGGTTTTTTTGTGTGACAATGATCTATGATTGCACCAGTGAGAAGTATTTTCTTTAAGGTATTAGGGAGAAAAGGACGGTCCCAAAGGTTGTGGGTTTAGGCAGGGATACTTGATGGCCGTTGATTTACTTTAGATTTTGTGATAGCAAAATGCATTAAATTCTAGATACCCAGAATTTGCTGTTTTATTCTGCTTTATTGGATTAATTGAGTTGGAGGCATTTCATGCTTGCTTATTAAACTAAGCACACACATTAATGAGACTGTAAGTTTGGCCCCTTGTTAGTTGGAACTCCTGTGGACTTGGTGGACTGTGTCTCTTGACAAACACGTTAGTAATTTTCTTTATACACATATAGGCTGTTTGAAAATTTTCCATTGTTTAATATTCTTTTAGGGGCCTTAGGCTTATCTGGCGTTATCTTCAACTCTTTACTAAATCTTATCTTACAAAGATATTTATTTATATAAGTTTGAATGTCTTCATTTTTTTTCTCTTAATTGCATGATATCATAATAATAGTGCTATGTAGTACTCTGGTAAGCAGTACCTTGATTTTATCACCCTTTGATATTAAATAATAGAATGAGATTGTTTTAGATTTGTGAACACTACAATAGTAAGAGAACTATTCTTGAAATGGTTAGTGATTTGAAGTTTGCCAATGCTAATTATTCTTGATTTTTTATTTTTGAAATATGTAGGTAGTAATCAATCCATTGACAATAATCTGACAGGTATAATACATGGCATTGCTTATATGATATCTACTATGGACAGTTTCTTTGGACCAATGGGGCCTTCGTTGGCTTGCTTAAGTAGTTGGTTATTTTAATAAAACTGGGGAAACATTCTTTAGTGGTGTACGCTATGAATTTGAGAGATGGAGTAGGGTGTGAGAATGCTTATTTAACATGTTTTTTCTTCACACCAAAATTTAGTCTGTACGACAAACTTTCCGCTTTAAATTCTGAAATATTACTCGCATATTATGTTCACACGTTTCTGATTTTATCACATGGTTCATTTGTGTATGATATATATATGTCTGTGATTGTTGTGTTTGTGAATGCTGATTTTAATGGAGCTGTGCTGAACTTTTATTGATTATATGTTTGCAGGTAGAGGAAGAAATGCTGATGCGCAAGTTCTATGAAGTCATGGCTGCCGAAGGTCTAACCAAAAAGGTATGTTCACTACAAGAAATTTCACTTTTGGCGACAAACAACATGAAGGGAAAGCAGCTTAAGAGGTTGTAGTCCATTAAAGAATGGCATATAGTTTACACTATATCTAAGCACATTACAATCTCTGTGCAGTTGTGAATTTGAGATCAAATTTTTACAATAATAAGTTTGATATCCTTTACCTATACATATGTTACCTCAATGATAAGATAGAAATCAATTATCCATCATTATTTGCCCCGTTGATGCCTAATCCTTTATTACTTCATTGTCCTTCACTGGCGGCAAACCAGAGCAAATAAGGAAGAGTATTATCACAGAGAGAGAGAGAGAGAGAGAGAGAGAGAGAGAGAGAGAGAGAGAGAGAGGAGAGGATGAGCTTAGCATGCATATAAAACTCCCTTTTTTTTTTTATAAGTAGAAGATTACCTCAACAATGTGACGAACATCACAAGAAGCATGGATTTGGCCTGTATTAACATATGACTGAGCATTCTCTTCAATATTCTCCAACCTGCAATTACACAGTTCAATATATTTCTAGTTGTTCGAGGTAAAAATGTTCCTAATTAAGTTGAACAGAAACATTCCGTCCACTAAATCCTACAAGGAAATAGTCTTTTATCTAAAAAAGAAACCTTAAGAAGAATATAATAACCACATTAACAGATGGTCAAAAGAAATAGTCTTTTATTTAAATAATGATGGTCAAAAGAAACCTTAAGTAGATATAGATAGATATTAGTCAAAGATTTCCCTTGTGTTCATAGAATCATTATAAACAAATTTTCTCCTCTTCTAGTCACAGAAAACTTTATAGGGCAATCTCATGAAGACAAGGAACCAGATGCACAAGTCTCCAACAATTTGAAAAGCTTGCAAAAGGAAAAGGGGTGGAGGACGGGTAAGAAACTTTATATGCTTGTCAAGAGTTTGAACAAAACAAGTCAAATTAATTCTTTTATTTTTGTTATGCTTGATCATCTTTCAGAAAAGAGAACTGAGCTATAAATTGGTATGCTCCCATTCAAATGCGTGGCATATGAAATTACTAAGAAATAAAGACTAATAAGCATTTACAGAGCTTCACAGTTGCTCCACTTCAACATATGGTTCTATGTTGTTAAAGAACTAGTGTACAAGGTCAAAGTTTTATGCTCTGAAATTCAACTTTCTGAGGTTAAATTGAATGTGAGATCATATTAGACACCTCTAATGAATTTATGGATTTGATCCATCAAATGAATACATGTTATTATGTCATGAGGCTCAAAACTGTGATCCCTATAATGAAAATTGCACTGTTGAAATTAAACAAATAGTGTCCGGACAAACTTTATTCTCACTCTATGTTAAAATGTGGTTAACAAATTGCATGTTGAAGTGTGACTGTCTACATGTGTATAGACTTGTCTGCTTCTCTTGTCTCTCTCCATCTATTATCTATAACTCATATTACAGCTTCCTTCTGCGTATTTGGTTCAGTGAGGTTGTCCAAGATTGGTGAATCTCCTGCTTATGCGTGTGAAGGCCTCTCTTTTTTTCTACACAGAAGATGTAATGAGAAAGCAGAATTGGTTCAAAGAAGATAAAGTCAAAGCATTATAATAAGGTAGACACTATGTGATCCCAGAATTGTCCAATGTCCATGTTGAATTTTTCACTTCAACTCAAAAGATTAGAGCCACCAAAATTCATGATGACTAATTTGTGAGTTTTTTTGGGTTATTTATATGGGAAAAGATTAAGAGCTCACTTACTTTCAACTTGTGAAAATCCACTATTTCTTATTTTTACAGCCCTGGGTGAACAAATTTGTCTTCCTATAAAATTTAACTATTTTTTACTTTGGTGTTTCCCATCTTAGATATAAGGATATTTCACAAAGTTTGTAAAATAAAAAAATTGATTAATACTTGTAGGAGCCAAGCAAAGGGGCAAATGGATACTCATATGGAGAAACCCAGGTATACTTGCACATTTCTCATGCTTGTGCTTTTGCTTGCTTGCTTTTCTACTCAAGTTTGTCATTTTGCATATGGATTACATTAAAGGTTGGTTTGGCATAAACCAAATAATACAAAAAGTCAAAAAGTCACTACACATCAAACCCAATCCAAATCCAACCCAACCCATATAAGCCAATAAATCAAAAAGTGCACTTTTTTAGAACATCCCAAACCAACCCTAAGATTCTAAATTTAAGTAAACAAATGCTTATTTCCATTGTATTACAATTTTTTTAGGGTGAGGATAACGGTAGAGGTGAACATAGGGTGCATGAAGGTGGTAAACGTAGGATGCACTCACAACAAAATATTTTGGTAAATTTTGTATGGCATTATTAATTTACTCATTTGTTTTTTCCTCGTGCTTCTGCTTTTGTTTGCTTACTTGCTTTTCTACTTGAGTTATTGTCAAATTTTCATATACATCCCACATCGTCTACTAAATTTGGGCAAACAAATATAACTTGATATTGTATTACAATTTTTTTAGGGTGACGAAAATAGTGAACACGATAAGATATTTGGGTAAATTTTATATGACATTAATAATAACTTTAATTTTATCTTCAATTCATTAGCTTATCTTATGTATTGCTTTCATGATAGTTACATGATGCAAATGAAACTAGAAATGGTGGATCCTTGGAGAATGCCAAATGCAAATTGTTGAATTGGGATGGAACAAAGGTGGTGGTTGCGAAAGGCACAATTGCATCAACAGACTCTAAAGCATTGGTACATCACGTGTCTCTTGGCCCAGGGTGTTGGAAAGTATGGGTTAACCATGTCATAGTCAATGCACTATTGTTTTGCCCTAATCGTGAGATGTTTGTGCTTGAGGATGTTATTGGAAGCATTGTTGCTTGGCCAACTCATTTCATTAGCTTTGACTTTGAGTAAAACTAACATCTATGGATAGTTTTTGAGGATTTTGATGAATATATTTCTATAATTTTTGAATAGTTTTGGGTAATGTTTACAAACTTATATATGTACAGTTTTGGATGATTTATAACTTTTTGGATAATTTAGAACTTAAGGATAGTCCTTGTGGATGTTTTTGAACTTGCGATTAGGTTTTGGATGTTTGGAATGTATATATTGACAATTTTTGAATGTTTATAATTTATAGATATAGTTTATTTTTATGGTTGAAATAATATTTTGGTGGTTGATTGATATTTTGTGAAGCTTATTTATAATATTAGATTGTACAAAATAGGTCAAATATAGAATCTGCTGAATTTAAAAAAAAAAATGCACATTCTACGGCAAACAAATTAGGTCATTGCATGAAATATTTCACAGCATTCCATGTATGCCACTATATGTTCTACTTATCTACAGCAGGCTGAGCAAGTTGTTGTAATATATATTTTACGACGTGCAATTAGTGTCGTTATTTGTCTCACCAATTAACGGCGTGCAAAAGTAGTCGTGGAAAAAATAACGACGACGTACAAAATCTGCCGTTAAATAGTTTTTAACGGCATACTACAGCATGTCGTAGAAAAAGTAACAACGCACAAAATCTGTGGTTAAGTAGTTTTTAACGGCGTACAAAGCATGACGTTGAAAATGAATGACTTTCCATGACTGGTCATAATATGACGCGCGCTTCACGTCGTAGAAGGGTTTTTACTGCGTGCATTGCGCGCCGTAAAAATCCTTTTTTGTTGTAGTGTTGGTTGCTTCTTCTCTCCGAATTTGATCTCAAACATGTTATACGCAAGTCGGTTAAAGAGAGAGCTGTAGTGGAATTCCTGGCAGATCACCCAGTAGAGGGGGATGAAGCGGTGGAGTACTTTTTCCTAGATGAAGATATTCTGCAAATAGAGGAGAAAACGTTGACGATGCACTTTGATGGAACAGCCAATCAATACGGTTATGGGATTGGTGTGTTGCTGATAACACCCAATGACTCCCATACACCTTTAGCCTTTAAACTCCGGTTCAAAGTATCCAACAATGAAGCAGAGTATGAGGTGCATATTGCTGGTTTAAAAGTCGTCCTGGAACTTGGCGCAGAAAGGTTGGATGTTATCGAGGATTTGGACTTGGTTGTGTCTAAAGAGAAGAAAATGAAGGTTTACCATTAGGTCTTGGATATGTTAATTCTGAGGTTTAAAAAACTAACGTTTATCCATCTACTAAGGGAGAACAATTGGTTTGCCGATGCACTAGCAACTCTATCTTTTATGGTAGACATTCCATTGGGAGTCAGGATGCGTCTGATCATTTTTGAACAGAAGTACACGCCGGCCTATGAAACCATTGTGCGATAGATAAGGCTTCGGACAAGAACCCCTGGTACTAAGATATTTGGAATTTCCTTGAGAAAGAGTTGTATCCACCAGGAGCGAATGCCAAGGACAAAAGGGGAATATGATGTCTGGCTGTTCAATTTATCATCTACGGGGCAAGTTCTACAAAAGAGGCCATTTGGGAATGCATAAGTTGTGTGTTGAGGAAGAGGAATCAAAGTGCCTTATGGAGTCCATTCACGGAGGAGAATGTGGGGCCCACATGAATGGTGTGATGCTCGCCCAAAAAATCCTTAGACAAGGCTACTACTGGTCTATCATGGAGGAGGACTGTATCAGTTTTGTGTGACGATGCCACAAATGTCAGATGCACGCCAATCGCATGAACATTTTGCCGTCGAAGCTCTACAACATGACCTCACCACGGCCATTCTCTATTTGGGAGATAGATGTTATCGGCGCAGTTATGCCAAAGGGGTCAAACGAACATGAATTTATCTTGATAGCAATCGACTACTTCACTAAATAGGTGGAGGCCCAGTCCTACTCTTTGCTAAGGGCATCACATTTGGCTAAGTTCATCAAGAACAACATTGTCTGCCGGTACAGAGTCCTGAACGAGATCATCTTCGATAATGGTTCACATTTCAAGAAAGAGGTGTTGGAGCTGCTTGAGAAATACAATGTGGCTTTTCATAAGTCAACAACATATAGACTACAGACCAATGGAGCTGTTGACGCTGCAAACAAAAATATCAATAGAGTTCTACAGAAGATGGTGGAGACTTACAGGGACTGGTTGGAGAAACTACTGTTTGTGCTCTGGGCTATAGAACCTCAATCCGAACATCTACAGAAGCAACCCCCTATTCTCTCGTCTATGGGATGGAGGCTATCTTGCCAATTGAAATTGAAGTGTCATTGTTGCGAGTTATGGTCGAGTGTCAGATAGTAAAGGTGGATTGGCAGCAGAGTAGGTTTGAGGAGTTAATGTTGTTTGATGAGAGAAGACTAAGGGCATTGTATCATGTCCACGGCTACCAATGCCGAATTGCTATGGCTTTTAACAAGAAAGTTAAGTCTAGGAATCTCAAGGAGGGAGACATGGTATTGAAAGACAACCGGGCTCCTACCTAGGACCCTAGGGGCAAGTTTAGACCCAATTGGACTGGTCCTTATATCATCAAGTCAATCTGGTCAGGAGGGGTGATTATTCTCATGGACATGGATGGCTTGGAGTTTTAACAACCGATCAATATGGATAAGTTGAAGAAATACTACCCCTGAGAGGCTCGCTAGGCCGAAATCCCGAAAAGGCGACTTAGGCAAAAATTAGAGCATAAAAAATTAGAAATAAAGAAAAACTAATCTCGCAAGGTTGAAAACCCTAAAGAGCGACTTTGGCAAAAGTTAGAGCGCAAAATGAGAGAGTTAATACTCGAGTGAACCTGAACCGAACTACGTAAGGCCTGATTCCCCTCTTTGGGATACATAGGCAACTTCATCCTAAAGTTCGGTCGTAATAATTTCTAACCCAATTATCCTGATCAGGTCATCTCTGCTCGTCATCTGTTAGTTCGGTTGTGATCTTCATTTTGGAAAGAAAGCCTGGTTACAAAGCAGAGCAGTAGTGGTACGTAATCAGGGGCAGTTATGATCTTGTGATTCGGGACTGTACATCTCGAGGGTTGATTCTATACGTGTCAGGTGGTGACCATTTCCAAAAAACTGTTTTCAAAAGTTTTATGAAAAACTAATTTTTTTTCAAACCCTTTTACAACTTTGTGGGAGCCAAATAATGGGCAGAGTCAGAAGCGTACGATTCGAAGGATGGACATTTGTTCGGCTCTAACCTGCACGATTAGGAGGCCGACTACAATTAACAGGCCGAGTAACTATGGGCCCGAATAAATAAGCAGTTTGAGAGCGGAAAGTGGACCAGGCCCCGAGGCTCTGGAAACGAGTATAAATAGAGGAACAACAGTCAAAGAAAGGTATCTGAGAATTATTGTGCTTAACTTAGAATACAAGTAGCCCTGAGTACAGAAACTAACTTGCCTGTCGGAGTGCTAATTTTGGCACCCCCGACCAGAGTGCTTATTCATTTTCAGGTGACTTTCAGAGGATCACTAGCGTCCCCCAAGATCAGAAGAGTATTTCCAAACCACTTCTCCACAATTGGTGCCGTCTGTGGGAATACTCAAACACATCTATGGCGGGCGTAACGGAAGACCCTCCGATAGTCATTGATGAAAACATGCCGAGAGACGACCTCACTCCAACAAACATGCTTGGACCGGAGACTATCTCTGCAAGACGCGCTTTGAACTTCGCCTCACCCTCGACTCTAGAGCATGATGCAATGCAGGCGATCATGGAACAAGTAAAGCAAAACGAACAGAGGTTGGAGAACATGATCGCAGAGAACGAACGTCTCCGTCAGGATTTGGCCTTGGAAGTGGCAAAGTCCAAACAGGCTGTACGCCAAGATCCGAAACGACTGATGAGGGCAGGTGGTCGATGATCTCGACCCCGACAACAAGACACTGATAACGACTACCCCTCATTATCCCCGAAGCCCAAGAAGAAGGGACGATCTGAAACTTCCAGCTCTTTTGAAGAGA